CTGCTTCGCGCGGGCTACCCCCGGGTCATCCTGGCGAGCGGCGCGGAGCGTTTAAAACCGGCCTTAAAATAACACCGTGGCTGCCGACGTGTGACGGGTAGGAATGGACGTATCCCTTTCTTTCCGAGAAGATGACTTCATAAAACTTTTGCCCCGTCCAGAGCCGAGGATCGACGTGACTGACGTGATTGCCGCGCTGGGAGATACCCCGGGCCTCTCCCCCTGTTTTTCTTTTTACCCTTAATCGAGGATTCTTTAAGGACTCGCGGACGACTATGAGGAGGCGCGAAGAACGGCCGGCATACGGTATACGGGATTATTTTCCATTGAGAATCGTTAGGTGGACAAAGGGATAAAGAGTGTTTATTACGCGCTCTATAAAATACCGTCGAAATAATCGAATTAACGCTAGAAATACCAAGCGGTTATTTTTGGCCGTTTCTAATTTATTAAATTATTATCTTTTTTGTATCAAAGGTAGTTAAATTAATATATTTTTTAGTGCATCAAAGATTATTCAAAAATTTTCTGATTTTAAAGTTCCATTGGACTAAAGAGAGTAATTGATGAAATGTTGGAAATTCAAAAATTATTTCTTTAATATGTAAAAAAAAGATATTAATTTAAAAAATAGAAATGGTTGAGAATGATCGTTCGATACTTCCAATGCTGAGGTATAAAAGCAATAATGATAATGATAAGTAATATATGATAAATTATATCATATTAACGTATCAATGTGAGGAAAGATCGTGTTAAAGGACTTTAGTTGAGGAAATCCGAAAGGATAGCCCTGCTACCGGTAACAGTAGCCCTTGGTGTAATCGGACCTATAAACGTTCGATTCGCGCAGAGATTTACACGGGGATAAGCGTGGCGAACGCGCGTAACGCGGGTGAAAAGGTCTCCGGCGCGCGTCTCAAGGATTCGAAAGCGGTCCCCGCGGTACATTTCGGCCTCTTTGAAATGAGAGGGGCGTTAAATCCGTATGTAAACCCGCGGAGCCGTTGGTAATTAGCGTGGGCTCACTAACGAGAGTTTTCACGGCGCTCCTCGACGGGAGCGCACGGCACACACGACGCGCGCGCGCTTTACCTGGATAAACGCGAAAGAAGAAAAAAAAAAGGAAAAATATGTACGATGCGTGCGACTCCGCGACATAGGCGTGGTACTGTGCAAAATGGCACGAACATCGCTGTCTCGCAATGGGAAAAACACCGAGGATAATATCGATTTGAAAAAAAAAAGAAGCCGAATGACATGACATTCTAATAATTCTATCCTGCGTCGTATTTTGAATTTGATTCTTGATCCAATTATCATTTGGCACATTTTTGCGTTTAACGTACGCGTGAATATTCGAATATTAACACTCGATATGACGATCGCAGCCTCTGCAAGAGGCACGTCCTCACGGGAATCTGTGGGAATTAAAAAACCAGATTTCGATTTTATCGGGCTCTATCGCCGAGAACAAACACCGCACCCTGCAGCTACCCCGAGATAACCCCGTAATTGAGGGTTAGCGATAAGCACGTAACGATACACTCCGTGATTTCCGTCCTAGCTTCGTTCTCCTCTATGATCTAACCACGTATCTAGCGCGCAATCGCCGTTGAATTTTTCCGGCGTCTTATCTTCGACGCACGCGACAGCCGCGATCTTCCGGATATTTTTTTGTACGCATCTAACGACGTTGAGATACGGTGAAATCATAAGCATGAGTCTTCTTCATACAGTACCCTTATAAAATCAGCAATCCGATTTATTGAATAGATTTCATAAGTATTATACTCGTCGATCAAATCAATAAAACTCGTGTGCTTTATCAATTGCGGACAATTTCACACAAAAAGTCATTCTCAAAATGGAGATATATTAAAACTTTGATTGCATTTTTCTAAATGTATCCCCAAATCTTGTTTCTTATTTTACTAACATTATAAATTATTAATAGTAGGCATATATAATTCTACGCAACGCAATTATCGAAGTCTTTACATGTTTACTCGTTGCTTCGATAAGATATTTTTAATTTCTGTTAATTTTTTAATCTTCTCTGATATTATTTTTCTTCTTGTTACGTACGAGAGCAGAAGGTAATTATTAATCATCGCAGCAACTAGAAATATCAAATCGGCAGCCATTACGGCGGCGAATCGGCATATTACACAATTTTCCGCGTATCGAGGTCGTGCTCGCGATTTTATCGAGTTCGCCGCGATTTAATGATTTTTCATCGGCGAACGCCGAGGACACCACTCGATGATCTCGTTCCTTTTTTCCGCGGGAAAAAATCGCGTTTTATTTTCTCTCTTTTCTCGTTTCTTTTTTTTTCCTTCCTATCGTTATCAACTAGTTATTTCAAAACTGCCTGCCTTCCCACGATCGAAGAGGATCGACGAACAGCCGCGCGGGACGATCGGGCATTAATTAGCCAATTTGCGTTAATTGGCGACCGAGGACATTTTTCCGCGAGACCCGCGTTTCCCAGGCTGGGGAAACGAGTGCATCATAATTGAGTTAGCGTTACGTATTTTTAAGACCGCGCCGCGTTTCCTCGCCCTCTTCTTCTCTCTCCCCGATGACTCCGTCGCGCCGTCTCTTCGTTCCTTCTCGTTCTTTCTTTCCTTCGAGTTTTTTCCTCCCTTTTTTTTTCTACCGTCGCGCAAGTTAAGCCCGCGAGACTTAACAGCAATGGCCACATGCGTACATGTCTATATGCCTCGCGGCGATTGAAACGCTTCGCGAAAACACGGCCGAATATTGAGGAAGCCAGGGGAGAGAAAAAAAGAATATCTCTTGGAAATGTCTTTTGCTTCAACGATTATAATTTCAAATCGTTATAATTTTTCTATTCTAAATAGAAAAAATATAAAATATTTAAATAAAGTTTCCACGTAAAGAATACATTGAGGATATTTATTAGTGACGTTGTGAAATGTTGATTATATTAATTTTTCAAAACAACAACATTCAAAAAACCAGCAGTCTAATGTCCATTTCCACCAATGTAAATATTATCGAGTAATTAATACTATCGATTAATACTATCATTTCTGATTATTTCTATTTTTTAAATTAATATCTTATTTTTAAATTAATATCTTATTTTTAAATTAATATTTATCTCGCATCAAAAATATGATTTCAGTTTTATAATTTTTTCAATTTTTTGATTTTTATCAATTACTATTTTACTCCAATGGAATATTAAAGTCAGTCATCTTTGATATCAGAAAAAATATGAATTGAAGAAAACAAAACGATGGAAAATAACTGCTTAATACCTCCAGTATTAACGTTAATCTTGGTTCAATTTTTTTTTTTAATTCTTTTAAAACTAAAATAAAATAGATGATAGATTAAATTAAGAGATTAACATTAATCTACATTGGTAGAAATGGACGTAAGAAGACGCTCAAGCATGCGTGCAATTTTTCGAAACTTTGCACCTCTCGAAAGGAAGCGACGATAATTCGAAGCTGAGAAGATGAAAACAAGTTGATACAAGTTTGCTAGGTGAACTACACTTACTTGGTAGCAACGGGTACCAGGGTCCAGTCGTATCCCTGAAGAACCTTTGCGACGGCAGCGCTGATTCCCTCGCCGCCATTGGCGGCCACCGTCGCCGCCGCCGCAGCGGCGGCTGTCACCGACGTTTTGCCATTACCGATGCTGTTATTGTTGTTGTTATTGTTATTATTGTTGCCGTTCACCGGCGAAATCGACGTGCCGCTGCTCTCCGGCTTGACGTCGTTCATCTTCATCCCCTTCGTCGCGTCGTCGCGCGAATAACGAAAATCACTGAAGATCGGTATCGTGGAAAGTATGAATGATCACACACGATCAGACGTGCCGAATTATCGCGCGCGACACGCAAAAAACATGCTCATCTCCCAGCTGCAATGAGGAGACGTCAATCGTCCAATTTATCACTCCGATATCGCTTTTGTTATCGCCTTATCATCGCGGCGAGTCGCTTCCGCTTCTTCGGAGTTTCCAGCTCGATTACTTTCTTCGATGTGTCTTGTGTTGTGAGCCTTTCTTTCCCTTCGTAAAATTTCGGATGTCACGTCTCGATCGTCACGTTTCAACTGTCATGTTTGTCATCAATTTCGCTCGCGATTAGCCACCACGATATCTTCTGCGCGCACGCGTTCTTCTATCTGCGTCAGTCGTTTCTTCGCTCGTCGCAGTTCGCCGACTTCGTCGTTTCTTATCTACACCGTGCTTCTTTGTCTGTCTCGCGCTTGGTCTCTTTACCGAGAAAACGAGATCGAACCTGCGCGTCGTGTGAAATCGCAATCGGTGATCTCCTTCTGATGATTGGTCTTCTTATCCTTTTCTATAAATCATTGCAGTTCGCTTCAACGCAGATTGCTTCTTGCGTCAAGCCAGCGGTTGTCCTCGATTTGCCTAGGTAGCACGTGTCTCAATAGACACCACTGACATTCAAACGGATTCTTATATCGTTACATTTGCTCGTGTACTCTTCGAGAAGAACAACAATTATATTCAAATCACGTCGCGAGACCACTCATAAGGTCATCAAAATCCGGAAGATATTCGAACCGTCAATTCACGCCAGTCACCTGGTCTCGTCTATGCGGGCCTAAAACTTCGCACTGTTTTCGTCTTGGAGAGTCTTCCGTAGTTGTCGTCGAACAATTTCACATGTGTCAGCACGGGGAACTTCGAGATTTCCGTTCGCCGGATGGCCGGAGCTCGCGTTCGCGTTACTCGCGGCGACTCGCGCCGAGTTCAAGCCGGGGTTCGGTGGGTCGCTTGTCGCGCGATCGGCGCTCGAGTGAGGTGGTTGCATCGCCTCGGGGCAGTTTCCACCACGAGGCCTGACATCGTTCACTCGACTCGGCTGGCTCGTTTTGGGGGCGGAGCGAAGGCAACGCGCTGGTAACACTTGTTGCTCCGTAAAGTCTCGGCGACGGTCGCGTGCACCGGGAGGGAGATGACGGCGGCGGCGGCGGCGGCGGCGGCGGCGGCGGCGGCGGTGGCGGCGGTAGAAGTGGCCAGAATACGCGGGTGGAAGCGAGACATGGAGAGGCATGAGGCATTCGCTCCGAGTATCTTGCGGTCGTCGTGTTCGCCGGCCTCGTCGTCGCCTCGACGAGGAACGCGGCCAAATAAGGCGGCACCCGCGAGGCCGTTACATTTTTCGCTCGCTTCTTCGCGTATTGTAATGTACCGTCAATGGAAAGATTCCACATTATCGTAATCAATAACCGTAGAGCAGAAGCGGGAAAACTTCGCAGCGATCGTAATTCTTTATTTCTTACATATTTAGATTTATGCGATTGATCGTTACAATATTAATAAGAGATTGATAAGCTCGCTTTTAATTAATAATAGGAAAAGTTGTATAATTAAGCATCAATGAAAGACTATTGGCAACTTGTTCATTCAAAGAGGAATTAAATCTCGCATATTTAGAGTGTGTAAAAAAAAATGAAAACTCTTCTGTGTGCTTAATAATAAAAATTAAGGACAAAATGTACATGGTCGGGTAAAATAAATAAAAATTTTTATTGTGAATGCCGAATTTCAAATAAATATTAAGCATTTACTATCTTTTTTGGTATCGACTTAATTCTTTAATGTAAGTTGCATTAATACATCTTAAGATCACTACTTCTTCAAATTTCTTCACTTCGTATTTTAATATCAATTTAATTGCGGTCGAGGACCAGAGACAAAGGACATAAACATTATCCCGTTGACTAAACAAAGAGAATCCTGCGACAGAATTACATCATCTGACTGCAATCCTGATATTTATTCACGGAAAAGACTACTCTCGCTGACCGACAATCAGACGTTAATAACATCGCGAGCTGTCTCTCTCTCTCTC